ATTAATGATTATCACAAGAAGATCGACAGCGTGTTCGAGGTTTATAATGACTCCGTTGACTCCTTAAATATGCAATTACTTTATTGTGACAATCAGCTTGGAAATAGGTCAATAATAAGGAGAACCAGCAAATGGATATGGGATCGAAATTCAAAATTCTGTTCCCTAAAAATGCTTATTAAGCAATAGATATACCCAAGTAACACAATATATTCCAGCAACGTTTAGGAAATGTTGATGAACAATGTTGCATCTATGTGTAAATGTCCAAAACGTCAACGGTACTCAAATGTTGCGAAGGAACATTGCATTTACTTTGCAAATCGCTACTTATTCCTTACTTATACGTTGCAGATACGTTTCAGGATTTATGTTGCTGCAATGTTGATTTAAAATATTGCTTCACGGGCCCCTAATCTGGGCCAATATTGGCATTACGGAAAAGCGTAGGCTTCACTGGTCTTAATTGGACACCTGACCGCGACTCTCCCGCGTTATTTTTTTATTCCCTTTTATTCTGTTATGCCGGACATGCGAATTATCTTTAACGGTGATTTCATCATCTTTATAAAAGTACCTCCTACGTCATTACATGCTATCTTGCTATTAGTCCTTTTCTTCGTAGATATACATGAACACGTGAGTAATATTTTGCTCACTGACTTGAGAAATATTTATAGTTGTCCGATGAAAAATGTACTTCGATGTCTTTCCAAAGAATACTTTGAGATATGTGCATGCGTATTTGGGAAAGAAAAAGTATGGAGTGAATGTATCCGCGGTGTATCTTAAACTTCTCACACGCCTCTACTTACCGAAGCTTAGATGTTTCAACCGGGGGAGTGACCATCCATCTTCCAAAGTGGCGATGTCATTGTAACTTAAGGTAACAGATTCTAAAGTTGGATTTTGGAGCGATGACACCGATTCAAGGAAAGTGTAAGAAATACCGAAATTTTTCAAAACGGGTAACAGGGGTATGACTTCCCATGGAAAGTTCTGAATAAAGTTCATCTGGATCATCACATTTTTGAGCCTCTGATCCGATGAGAGTAATGCTGCGGGATGAATTCGTAAGGCAGCGAGATTTCGAATTACTATGGTCTCGAAGGTAACATTTCCAAAAATTCCTTCAGGTAATTCCGACACAGACTCAGTGTTGGCCAATACGAAGGTCCTGTAAAAAGAAAAAAGAATATTGAAATCAGTCTCACTCATTGTTTAGCTCTAAGATGCATAAGCTTGAAGATGCGGAGACGTAAAATATGTATTTGTTGAATTCTAATTCATTCAAAATTTTGCCACAAGAATTGCGTTTTGGCGAAAACTCATACCCACGTGCTACGTACAAAACGACTAGTAAAGTACTTTTTTTGCTTCTTTTCATTTCCCTGGTGTTGGGGAAGTTTTTATACTCCCAAGCATAAGTACAGGTAATATAGATAAGTCCTCGTAATGTTTGAAGATAAGTAATGAATATGTGCTTGCATGCGAAAAAGTGAAAGGACCCCATACCCCCGATTAGAGATGTGAGTGTTGGTAATATTACCGTAACGGTACCGGTTTACCGGTAATTACCGCAGTGTTGCTTACCTGTAATATTACCGGTAAATTACCAGTGAATCACTTTTCATATTTCCAGGACTTTTTTTCGCTATACAATACATATTATCCTGCTGCTTTTATTTTTTGCCAGAGAGTTATCCAAGGCCAGAGTCAATGACGATGGCATAATCAGCAAGGTCTTAAGGCTTTTGTAGCATTTCTGCATGTCTTCCATGGTATGCTGAGAAATTACTTGGAAATTAGTACGGAGAATTTCTAACCCCTGGTCCCTGACCCCTCGGAAAAAATCACGGTATCTATGACTTCGGGTTGGCATATGAAAACCTGGTTGTAATGTATTCCTATCCTTCGCAATGTTTTTACATTGAAGGGAATTCTCCTCAAGAGTCGGACGAAAGAGAAGAATGCATATGTATGCGTTTCAGTCTCATGTTTTCACCGAAATCCATCAATCTCCTCATAAAAGGTTGGAGTTATGGAATAGCATCGGCATGAAACCTTCTACTCTATTATGCGTACCGTGTACATGAAGAGACCGTCTCTGGTCAGCTTGTCATACCCAGCTATATGTTAGCAACATGAAACCCTCCAAAAACCAAACTTTGACCGAACTCGTGAGTCGTAATCAATTGAAATGTTTGACAGGAATGATACAAGTGACCAGTTTAACATAAGTGGAGCCTGGAATGCAGAACACATGCTTTGACTTGCTTCACAAGATCTCTGAGAAAACTTTGCGTATACTGTCTGTTAATGCACCAAAACACTCTGACTGCTATTGATGGAGTTGTCTTAAACCACGGTTGAGAGATTTCAGAACACGGTCAATTCTTGCTGCATTATTTGAGAAAGAGCAATTATCCTATTGCATTTTCGATAAACATCATTTAAATTATTGCAATTTTCAAATATTATATTTCAATATCTTCTCCGTAAGTTTAACATTTGAATCTGATTAACACCTAGAACATATAAACGAAGGAAAATGTAATATGAACTGCTTAATATGAGCAACGCACTATCGCACAATATAGAACGAAACTTACGTGAGCTCCAAGACCGGCCATGAAACATCATTGAAGACCGAGGCGATCGTTCCGCTTGACATCCAAGGACTCGCACATTGGACGGTAACTTCTGTCGTTCCGCTTTGGAAGCAGGTGCAGGGGGAAACGTCATTAGGATCGGGGCAGGGGTCTTGTGCGGTCGTCCATTGCAACCAAGATAAAAAGAAGAGGCTAGAAATGAAGGTGCGGGAGCCCACCATTTCGAAGACAGTGAGAGAATGTCGTTCTGCTACTGACAGGAAAGAGCAACCTAGACATTGGCTTACTGTAAAATCGGGCGCACGGCCCATATCTCATTTTCTTATCATCTTCAAGGTTTATGGGGTCCAATGGTGGAATATGAGGCAATTTCGTTATTGCATGGCATGTTGCTGGGTGCCTCCTACAGGCTGAAACAAGCATTGAGACCAGAAAATGAAACTGTTTATTCCAGTTTGAAAGCAAATGAGTGAATTGCAGACGATTGCGTCATCTCCAGGTATTACAGCTATTAGGGTATATATATCATTTATGTTGCTGTATTGCCAGGCTGCTCTGATGCTTCGCGTTACCGGTTTGGCGCTACAATGTTGGGGTGCATGTGTTAAATGTTTGACGGAGATGACGATGGTTGACGGAGAGATTAAGTATTATTGACTAAGTTTTCCTGCCCTTGACACTCAGAACTCCAATTACATATACTTTTCCACAATCGAATGACAAAAGAATTGCAATCTGGCTACTATAACTTTCCTCCATTCTCATCGCTGTCTCAGGGAATTCCGTAATTTACTAATTCCCAGTATAATTTTAGAACGTGTGAGAAACCCTTGACTTTTTTTTTTAAACATTCACGAGCACCAAATGGAAACGACGCGTCTCATTCATATCCTCACAAAGCTAGCTCATAAATTGTTAACGCTTCTTGAATTTTAGATTTGTATATAGTGGAACTCATCCCACATCTCTCTGAAGTTAATTGAACAATTATTCTTCAAATTCGCTACTTGTTGACTTCGGACAGTTCGGTGTCCATGATGACAGGCATTCCAACAGTTTGCCTGTATTACATCCTATGATATGAATTATCGTAACTCGATTACAGGGAGAAAAACAATCTCCCGGCCATTGTCAGTATATTGAAGTAGGTTGTGCTCGCAAAAAATAAAGATTGCATAATGGTGGTCATGGCATATAACGTGTCAAGCGTAAAGGCGGTCAACAAAATTATTAATTGTGTAAAAACTAGGGGAAATAAGACAGTCATCGTGTTTTTAGAGATGATAGCCATTTCTATGAACTTTACCGGGGGAAACACTAAAGATAGTCGTCATCTGCCTGAATACCTATCTCAAAGCAGCTTTGGAAAATAATTCTTACAACATTCTATATCGTACTGATAAACACGGCAATGAAACGAAGTCAAGGCTGGCTCACGATGGCTCCTTGTTGACTAATGGTTGATAATAAAGTCGTAAAGCATTAAACGGGATTATGATAGAAATCCAGGAAAACCAGGCTGCTCAAGACTTAGATAATATTTTACGACTGTTTCCCTATCGTATTCACGATCGTCTCCACGGTGATGGAAATATCCTAACAAGTTTCAGTTAAGGTTTTAATATTTCAATTAGGCATATGGTACCTGTTTGATTCTTATTTGGCTGACTCAGGCTTTTGTCCTACCTTCCGGCCAAAAACATGATTTTGGTCCATGTGAATTGTCATGGATACCATCTCCATGCTTTCTATAGCAATGTCCGCTTGGAAAAGAGAAAAATTACTCATTAATCCTATAGATACTACTTGAGAATGGCAGTGTCAAAGTGCTTGGGGGCGACCATCTTGAAAGTTTTTTTCAGTTCACCCAAAATCCAACCTGTTCTAAGAATAGGGACGAGTATCCAATAGACCAATGGGAATCTGTGCCATTTGGTATATATTTCTTTCGATCTGGAGAATGGCAGTGCGCATGCTCCAGACCGAAGGGAATTGGTGCCAAGTGGCAGGTATTCCCTTCGGTCCAGGTCATGGCAGTGCGCATGCTCCAGACCAAAGGTAATGGGTGCCAAATGGCAGGCTTTCCCTTTGGTCGATATTTGAATGTTGGAGATTTCTCTCTTGCTTTCTTCATCGGTAAGACTATTCCAGAATGATGGATTCTTTTTAAAGGCAGAGTCCTTCCTACTCCATTTGTTGGAGTTCAGACAAACACAGGTATAATCTTTTAAGAGCACATATATAACAATTTATTGTCTGAGATCATACAAACAAAATGAATTCTTCAAATCAACAATATGGCAAACCTGAAAGCATTATTTACTGGAAAAGTGAGGAGCACCGAACTTCAGTTAGAATCATCAAGTACTCAATACTGAGGCTTATTAAAGCATTTCATTCTGGAAACAGGATTTTCACTACAAACTGAAACTCAATGCCAGGTATTATATGATGCATACAGAATGAAGAACAAAAAATGTATATGAGTCACACTGCAATATCTTGAAACAAGTTCAAAATGTTCCATAAGTCTTTGACATTTTGCAAGTTCAGATGAGATGTGATGCACGATCAGATGTGATCCACCTTCCACATTTTCCAGGAATAAGATTAAAGCTGGGTGTAAGCAAGCTCCACCTTCCATATCCATGAAATCACCTTCTGCCAGATGAGGGATAGATAGGAATTATACATCATTTCTTAATTTTAGATTGCACTTAAAGGCATTCACTCAGTCATCTCCTACATGACATACAGAACTGACCTGGAAGATGCTATTCTTCATGTTCATGGGAGAGCACGATATGGTGAATGCATCCCTGCTGAGAAGCATTAGAAGAGAGTCATTATGCATCCTCTGCTGATCTCCGAAGGGGCAGGAATTCCTGGAGGTGAGAAAAGACAAAGCCATGATCCAATGCTTCAGTTAGATTTGGTAGGGGGGTTTAATACATGACTGACTAAGAATTAGACTCACCTCCATCCTGGAGAAAATTTCTAACAGAATCCTTCGTCCCTTGGGAGCCTCCTCACTGTCCTTCCTTGTGCATAAGCAGATATTTCCTGGAAGGAAAGAAAAACAGAATGTATGAAAAAAAGAAATGATCATTGACAGCGTTTCCTCTAAGCTTGCCAGCCGTGTATTCTTATTTTTATTACAGCTACTTATTCAAGAATGCAACTCAATGAAACAATCTCTATGAACAAAACGGTAGTTTTGCTTCTTTAAAAGTTTCCCAAAATACAAATTCTTATTAAAAAGGAGAAAATGCAATACTTCACATAACTGACCATGAAACATTTAAATCTATACTTCCTCTGAGATGCGGTCTTGTTGGATATTCATCCGGCCATCTGTTTCTTGATAGAGCCACTTCAGTTCTGCAGCTGTTTCTCTAGTCAGTCGCTGACTTTTCTCAGTGAGTGTAAACCCCCATAATAGAAGGGATTCACGATGAACAGATGACGTGCTGTTGGTTCCTGACATGGGCTTCCACGATTTGGGATAGCCTCCCATATACCAGTGGATCTTCACTGTATCGCCATCTTCTATTGCCTGAACCTCTCCGAACCAAGGACAGGATACTTCATCATATGTATAGATGGCTGCGAGCATTCCTGGCTGGAGATCTTCAGTCCCACTAAATGCCCCTGCCTGCGGCTTCCCAACGAACCGATGATAGGCTGTTGAAATAAACACAGTACAATAGAAAGAATGATATACAGACAGTTGCACTGTTGCCTCATCAGGCATTGGATGCTTTTTTCTTGTTTCTTGCAAAAGAATTCTATCTCAAGCCCATATACAACTATAAGCACAACTTTTGACTTGGGATCATTGCATTAATAGTGAAATAAGAGAAGCCATAGACTTCTCTTTGGCACTTCTAATACTCCAATAAAAATGCTCCTCAATTCTTCCACATTGCCATGGATGTGGCCATGCAGATAATGAAGCCAATATGGGCTTCTATACTTGGATTTTATGTATATAAACATTTTTTACCTGCTCCAGAGGTCTGAGCAACTGGTTCTCCATGCCCCATAGGAAGTTCAGCACGGTTAGAATCATTCTTGGTGTGGTCAATGTCCTCTTGTGTTCCACGAGAGTCCAAATGTCCAGTGGCTTCCTGAAACAAATACACATATCAACTGTTAGCAAGCTGATACATCTTCAAATGATGTATAGGCATACTTCAGGACTTGAAAACTTCACCAGTTGAAGTTTTTCGAGGGAGAACATCTTCAATGCTTCAATCTTATCCTCTGGCATTCTTGGAAAGTAGTGAGGAATTGAGGTTCTCACTTTTTTCAACCCTGCCCTTTCCCAGTCAGGATGTACCAGGGAAGTAAATGTGTCAACAGGTGGAGTTGTCTGAGGACAAGACAGAAAACATATTGTTAGACCACCTACTAATGCAGCAGCATATCAAGGATTATTTCCTCTGAAGAACCTGCTAGTATTCCAGTTGGAGCGTGAGCTGATTTCACCTTTTAGGTTGCTTTGTCAGTTTCAGAGAGTATTTACAGGGTTATGCAGAGTAAATAAAATTGAAATTTCATTTTTGAGTCAAAAAATCAAATTCATGACTTATAAATAAATAAAAAACAGGATTGACATACAACTGGTGATTTTCACAATATCTAGGACCATTCTTAAGTAAGGTTTTCTGGTTTATAACTAAAAAGAACATTTTTTGTTCTCATAAACATATGAGTGCCACAGAGTTTATAGAAGAATAACAAATGGCAAGCAATTGAGAAATTAGTTTATAATATCAAAGCACAGTTTTTTCCTTTCTGAATCTGCAGATATCACGTTTGTAGACGACAAGGCAATCTTTTCCATCAATATAGCATTTCCTCCCAATACAATCATCACATGAAAGGATCCAATGGTTATGATTACACATAAGACTTACCAATGACATCAGATGAATCATCAAAAAATCCCAGTTTTCACAGCTCACCTCAACCATCTGTAAAGGTCAGGAAAAAATAACATAATAGATGGCTGCAAAAAGTCACATTGCACAACATGAACTCAATGAATGAACAGAAAAATCTTGCCAAGAACATATTTCTTGATTATTGATTTCCCCCCAATTTTGTACCAATTTCTAAAATCCAGATGACATTGTTTCAAAGGCATACAGTTCTTTCATAGCTTACCCAAATAGGTGGAGTGTTTCTCATAGTGTTAGGTGCTACTGTGAATGATGACATTTCCATGAAGATTGAGAAATTCTTTGGTTGGGGGAGAATGAAGGATTCGGACTGAGTCTTCCAGGTTGTTCCAGTTCAACCGTGGGGGGGGGGGGGGGTTCCAACTGCACTTGTGTCCTAGGGGGGATTGAAGGAAAGGTCAGGGAATCAATTCAGGCATTGTATGGAATGCACTGGAAACAATATGAGAACTGCTTACCAAATGGTGCCTCATCAAATGACACAAATGACCTGGGAGATGGCAGAGCTTGGATATCAGAAACACTCTGATTCAGGGAGTTGTTAGATTCTGCTGGATGGATCTCACCTGCAATCATCACAATATGTAATAGGAAAACATGGTTCAACAATACCACCTTTTCATGACAATAATTACCCGATTTGTCCTGAACCATGCTGAATGATGTAACTGGGGAAGGTAATGCCACTACCAGAGAAAATGATGCCTTCAAAGTTTCTTCCCTGTTGCTTTCTATTGGTCCTCCTTTGCATAGAAATCAAATTTCAACATAATTTTAAACGTTAACTTCCTATTCTAATCTATCAAATTACTTTTTAAACCCTACAAGCTCCAAATAATGGTATTGTGAGGTCTTTTGTGAAGGTAAGGACAAGAAATCTACAACAGTGCAGTGGCAAATATTGACTAGTGCCACTTTCCAGGTAGAAACAATGAGCTTCCATTACAATTGAACATATCTCATGAGCAAGTAAACTTCCAATAATGCGAAGGTTAATAGCTCTGCTACGTACAAGAGGCTTTTGAGCATCTTAATGGAAGGATGGGTCTTGTTTCTAATCACGAAACAAGTCACTTAGAATTCCTTGACCAAGGCCTCACAATAGGCCATATGTGACTTTTTGTAACTGTGACATAGGCCTACCGGTTTCTGAAGAGCCTTCGAATGACTTGACAGGGGAGAGAATCGTCATCGTCGTTGATGCTGATGCGTTCCAGGAATCACCATCGTTATCGGGTCTCTGGCAGGCTTGCAGGAAATCTGGCAATACAAACCGAACGTCACTTCACATCATCATTAAGTAAAGTCATTATGCATCAGAGACCTAAACATCCAGGGAAATGATTACAACTGGTGCTATGAAACGAAAACGGGAACATTTGCTCAATAATGGTGGAACCCAGATTCAGGATCCAGGAGTTCCAGCTATTGCGTTTAACAGACAAAAAATACGTATGAAAACAGGATGAATTGAAGGTTGGGGCAGGTTGAACAGCAATGCCCTCTGTTTGCTGATCAAATTTGAGCAAAGTTAATCCTCCCTGCCTAATTAGTGTGCCGTATTTAATTCATAAGCGTGTCGATAGGTAGTCAGATCAGTTGCAGAGTTCAATGATTCTCGAGCTAATTGGAAGTCTTGGATGGAGATGAGTGAGCGGCCCACGGGCCCGCAGGCAGCCCGCCAGTCGACTGGGCTCGGGACTCCATGGAGAGGTCCGTGCGGATCCGCTTATGTAACCCCCAGCGCGGTGCGGCCCCTATCCTGACCTCCAACCAATATGAGAGCCCTCTTCTTGAGGAGAGAAGGAAGCGCGGTCATCCCAGGCAGTAACAGGCTCGCATCATTAGTGATGGCATTGGGAAGGAGACAGAAGGAAAGCGAGAATCGAATGAGTCTCTTCTCTCTGTTAAGTTCTTGTAAG